ACCATCCCTACATAAAGGATAAAAATATGATAATCATTCCGTCAATAAAACACGTATACCGTGTTTCTCCAATAAATTCAAACAAAATAGCAATTTAATTCAAACATAATAGCAATTAAATTTAAATATAATACAGTATCAAACAACAAAAAACATCTAATATTTATATAAAATATAAAAATTATTATAACTCAAGCTCTAATAACTTTAAAAAAATCTATTTTATAGATTTGCTGCTTTAGTTTGAGCTACAATTCTATAAGAATAGATTTTATTTATCTTATAAGATTAAAAGTTATTACAGCTTAAAGTTTATATATAATCAAAAATTTGATATTTATTATATAATACAAAAACTATCTATATATATTTTTAACCAATTAAAATTAATTATACACAAATTAGCCAATTAGAATTAATTATATAATCTTCATATTTGGTGCTTTTAAAAAAAATTTAATGTTTTTGCTATCCAGTACTGTAGTAATCAAATTTGAACATAGTAGCAATCAAATTTGAATATTTAACCAATTAATTTTAGACATTTTAACAATCAAATTTGAACATCTTAACAATCAAATTTGAATAGCAATATCTTATAATCTAGTAATTCAAATTATATAATTTTAGTATCATTTAACTCATCTTGACAAGATAAATTGAATGATACCAAAATTATATAGTTTGGACCACTAGATTATACATGCCACCGAAATAGGTTTTCAAAAAACTCCTATTTCGTCACTATTAGAGCAATTTGGAATTTTTTATATGCAATAGCAAATCTAATTTAGGTAGTTATGTTCTTTATAATTTCGTTTCTTCAAAAAAAGTGTCAAAAAATTTCGTCTTTTAAGTAAAAATAGGTCAAAAACAATTTCGGCTTCAAATTTTAATTTTGTACCCCGAAACCTAAAATAATTTCGTCGCCATGTATACACTAGATTATAATCTATTGCTATTCAAATTTGATTACTAAGATGTCCAAATTTACTAGAATGTCTAAATTTGATTGATTGAATGTTCAAATTTGATTGTTACTATGTTCAAATTTGATTGCTACTATGTTCGAATTTGATTGCTATTTTGTTTAAATTTGATTGATCAGATGTTTTTTTTATTTTATTTCAAAAGCTGTTACTTGATTGGCTAATTATATTTAATCAACATTTCTATATCATAAAAATGATCGATACTGCTATTTTGAAAAAATCTCGAACTGTAGTGTAAAATTAGTTGTTAAAATTTAACATTTTAAAACCAAGACAAAGGTTAGGTATAATAACTAAATATTATACGTATTATACCAAGCCTGTTTCTTAGCTCCGTTTTGAGAGATATAGCAATACTAGAAGTGACTACTAGTGGTAGTACAATTTCTTATATTTTATTACGTTTGGTTTGTTACACGAGATCCTGTAAGTTTATAGGTTCCGGACCAAGAATCTTAGGGTCGGAAGTGACTTTCAGCTCGGGATTTTTCTTGACATAAGGGTACCCGGAAGAATAACAGTAAATGCTTTATTTGTATAATTAAAAACTAAATTAACGTTAGTGATTAACATTAATAATGTTAAGGATAATAAAAATTGACATGGTGTTCTCCTTAGTAAGTCGTACGTAATTATGCATTTTTAAAACACAAGGCATTTTCATGTTACATCTGAACTTGCAATTTGATTTGATTCACATATTCATATGGCTAGAATCATGCAAGTAGATGCCAATTTAAACACATGGAAAAAGATAAATATTGTTTAAAACAATGTGAAAAATGTAACCCGAATAAAGTGGTCTCTGGTCCTATAGAACCTGGTCATTCCGGTTTCTTAGGCGTAGAATTACGTATATACTAGAAAAGATAGTAAGGGTCATACTGTCTTTAAGGGACGGTTTTTCGACAAGCAAGCATATTCGATCGCAATTTCGTTTTTTTATATAAAATTGGATTAACGTTAACAGTTAATAATCAGTTTTAAGACATTTTGCTATTGATGATTTGATTGGTGGTGTTCAGCCAGAATCTACGATCGTTGAATTATGGAAGTTATAATAAGTTAAATTCTTATTATTTTTAGTCAACTGTACAATGTTTTTTTTATAGAATGTGCTGTGTGGCTCATCAACTCTATTGACGTCCAGTATCGACAGTTTATACTTAACGATATTTTTATTAAGAAAGTTTTTTTTTTGAAAAAAAGGCAAAAAAAAAAAAAAAAAAAAAAAAAATATAGTAATAATAATAACTTCTGAATAACGGTCGATATCATTTCCTGTTCTGTAACAAACTTACCGAAAATTCAATTTCTTTTAAAAAAAACTTATAGTAAGATCTATAACTCTATCATTAACACCTACCTGAAACTGCCTTAGATATATGTTCATACACATACGTTTTTACAAGAATGAAAGTTGATTCTTCTGTCAAGAAACAGTGCAGACAGCGCCAAGGTGTGCCTTCACGTACTCAACACAACGTTCAGAATGCAACAGCTTCTCTGGTGAATGATATTGGTTCTTCAGTATTGACTCAAAGGTCAAATGCTTTAACGTTACCAAATCCATTATTGTTGAATCAACCACATGCAACACTCTTTTCTCTCCCCTCGGAATTAATTACTAGAATTTCGTTCTATTTAACTTTACCTGATTACTCACGTACATCACGTACTTGCAAATCTTTGCACACACATTTCCAAAAGGAGTTGATTTTATTTCTCCGGCATGTTTATGGACTTTCAGTTAGATCTGGGTCATTAATTCTTTTTGCTTATGGTGCTCACCTTCAATATCGAGCTCCACGACTGCTTGATCGTATCATGGATGAATTTTTTGTAGACGTTGGCGATAATCTTAACGTTGGCACTTCTAATTCTAACAATTCAATCTCTTTACGTCAGGCAAATTCTCGATGGCCTACTTATTGGTCAGTTTTGTATTCGCTTGACAAAGCACCGTCCTTAGATCCACCACAAAATTATACTGCTTCAGCAATACCACCATGCTGTTCAGATCACAATGTGGACAATTGCCACCTTCAATCACATCAGAACATATCGTGTTACTGTTCTGAGTCAACAGTCAATCTGAATCCGAAGCTACAATTTCTTGAAAAATATGCTTCAAGAATGAATGCCAAATTTGCGAATCGACTTGGTAGAGGAGCTGAAAGACATTGTAGTCATGGGCGTCGTAATGAATGGTTTCTTTCTGATGTTCGACAAAAAAAAACCTATAGAATGCTAATCATGCAAAATATTAAATATGGTGATGTAGAACTTTTAAGGTTTTATTTGGAAAAATATGGTGCACCCATTAATGGTGTTGTTAGATTCACACCAGAGGTGAAGTATTAATTTATTTTAAACGTAAATTTAAAATTATGCATACTTTTACTTTAATTAACTAGCAGCTACTACACCTATTTTAATCTCTGTTACTCACGTTTATTTCATGTTATTTATTTAGGAACAAGTTTGTCTTATGCAAGATCGTAATTTGATGGATTTATTGGAGAAACACGGTATACGTGTTTTATTGACGGAATGATTATCATATTTTTATCCTTTATGTAGGGATGGT